TCATCCCATTGCCTTCTTGCCTGCATGGTTTCTGCTGAGTAATCCAAGCTTATTCTTACTGACTCTCCTTTGCAGATGACTTCTCGTTTATCCCTAGCCGCTCTTAAAATTTTCTCTTTATCTTTGGTTTTGGCAAGTTTGATTATAATACGTCTTGATGACTTTCTTTTGGATCTACCTTATGTGGGGTTTGATGAGCATCTTGGATAGATATCTTGTCATCTTTCACGATATCAGGGAAGTTTTCTGCCAACAAATCTTCAACAATTCTCTCTGTATTTTCTGTTATCCCCCCCATTCTGGTACTCTAATCATTCGTAGGTCATTCCTCTTGATAGAGTCCCATATAATTCTTAGGGTTCCTTCATTTTTTTTATATCTGATTTTTCCTCAAATAAGTTGGTGTCAAGTGCTTTATTTTCAATCTCACTAATTGTCACTTCCATTGCCTCAATTCTGCTCCTATGACTTTCTACTGAGTTTTCTAATTCTGAAATTTTATTGTTAATCTTCTGGATTTCTGATTGCTGTCTCTCTGTGGATTCTTGCAGCCTGTTAAATTTGTCATTATGCTCTAATCTTTTTAATTTCCTCTATTGCGTGTTCTGCGTTTTGCTTAATTTCCTTCCTAATTTCTTGAAGAGTTCTGTATATTAGTCTTTTGTATTCTGCCTCTGGTAATTCCAAGAGATTTTCCTCCTCTGGAAAATTTCTAGATGCTTTATTCTGGGAGCTTGCTGAAGCCATCACGGATTGCCTCTTTATGTGATCTGATATTGACTGTTGTCTCTGAGCCATCAATAAGTTATTATATTAATTTATTTTATGTTTGCTTACTGGGTCCTAGTTTCTTGTTTTGTTTTGATATGCTCAAATAGGCTGTTCGTATAAGCTAGTTTAACTACTGGCACCTTTGAAGCTTTAATGTCCTGTCACAGGTGGTTAGATCTGTTACTAGGTATGTGAGCTCAAAGTCCACCCACTCCTCCTGTATGGATTCAGCTCAGGTGCTCAGGTAAATAGCCACCAAGTGTGTGGTGTAGGCTCTCACTTACAGTCCTAGACAGGCATGGGTGATTGGTGTAGGCACAGGCATCTGGCTGCAGCAGGGGGACACACTGTAAGCAAGGCAAGGGTCTGATGGCCGTCCCCAAGTGTCCAGGAGGAAGGCGTGTCCCTGTGCTCTAGAGCACGTAAGTGGGTGGGTCTTGCAGCTGGACTATGAGCACCTAATGCTGTTGGCTGTAAGAACTGGGGGGCATCACTTATTCATGGGCCCCTATTGCAGGTGGCTACATGGCATGGGTGGAGCCACCAGTCCTCAGGCCCGATGTGGGTAGGTGAAGACCCTGCTTAATGGGCAGAGCAGTGTCAAATGTCAAGAACCTGTCACTTCACAGCTGAAACAGCTGAAGTTAGAGTTCTGGTATATACCCTACTGTACTGCGGTAATGAGGGCCTACGCTGTTGAGATTGGCCCCCACAAGTCTATGCAGGAGGAAAGGCACTCAAAGTCCATGGATCCCTTATGCCTGTGCCTAGGCAAAGGAGTTGTGCCTACCCTGGGTTCCTGACTTAGGGGAGCTGGCGGTTTATTTTTTCCCGTTTGTTAATTTGTTCACTCTCAAAGGCAGGGACAAATCCTACTTTCAGCCCAGGGGACTTGGCAATTGCTGAAGCTGGTCCAGGGACCCAGTGCAAAGCAGGGAGTGGGGAGGTAAATGGGAGAGAGGTTTTTCCCTAAGGGGGTGTTTTTGATCCACACAGTAAGCTGTACACAAGTACTCATCTTTTGCTGATGAGGACTACTTGTCACTGGTTCTGGGTGGCTGTGTAAACTCTCTAGTGCTGGGTCTCTGCCAGTGCAGAAAATGCGCCTCCCGAGCACCACCGCTTGCCTGCCTCCCTGCTCACCCACGAGCTGCTCAGGCCTGAAGGGCTCAGGCTCTCACCGGGTCAGGTCGGGCAACTCCTGGCTGCTTCTGAACCGTCTCTCCCTTCCCCTGCCACTCAGTCTGGTTCCTCAACTCTTCCTTTGATGTTCAGGGCTCCCAGATTGCCATATATAATCGAATCACTTGTTTTTTGGGGTCTTTGTTGTAAGAGGGTCCACCAGAAGCATCTGACTAGTCCGCCATCTTGGCCCCGCCTCCCCCATTACTGAACATTTTGATCGAAGATTCCACAGAAGAATCCTGATCAAAAAGGGAAAAAAGGCAGAACAGAATTTCAAATTCTGATGGACTTAAGACTTTCTGGAGCCATGGAGGGTAGATGAACCCCTGAAACTATTGTCCTAAAATAATCTTTGAACCTTAAACCAAAAATATCCTCTCAAGTCTTCTTAAAACCAAACAATAGTTCAGCTTAACTAGTAAAAAAGGTCTGCTTTGAGCATTATGCTATTTTAAGAATTATCTACATGGGATCAAATTGACAACAGCAACTGGAAAGATCAGACAGGAACCCTAGGGGGTTAAGGAGGAAGGTACAACTCGGAAAAGGAGAGTAAGAGTAATTGCACAACTTGAAGAATGTAATCAGTGTCATTAAATTGTACATGAAGAAACTGTGGAATTGACAGATGTTGTCATGGATTGAATTGTGTCCCCCCAAAATATCTGTCAAATTGGCTAGGTCATGATTCCCAGGATTGTGTGACTGTTCACCATTTTGTCATCTGATGTGATTTTTCCTATGTGTTGTAAATCCTATCTCTATGATGTTAATGAGATGGGATTAATGGCAGTTATGTAAACTCAATCTACAAGATTAATCTACAATTTAAGCCAATCTCTTTTGAGATATAAAAGAGACAAGCGAGCAGAGAGACACGGGGACCTCATATCACCAAGAAACAAGAGCCAGAAGAATAGAGCATCGTTTGGACTTGAGGTCCCTGTGCTGAGAAGCTCCTCCACCAGGGGAAGACTGATGACTAGGACGTTCTTTCAGAGCTGACAGAGAAAGAAAGCCTTCCCTGGAGCTGACATCCTGAATTTGGATTTGTAGTCTACTAGACTGTGAGGGAATAAATTTCTCTTTGTTAAAGTTATCCACTTGTGGTATTTCTGTTATAGCAGCACTACATAACTAAGACAGATGTTTCATTGTCTATATTCTCAACAACAACAAAATAAATAAAATCTAGGGGGGAAAAAAAAAAAAAAGAAACTCAGTGACCAGAAGAGCTACTGTCTATGAATGTTCCCATATGGAAAACTAGCTACTTCCAAAACAGAAGAGGAAATTTCTTATTTTCTCTTCCTTCATAAAGTAGGGCAAAACATGGAGCTTGACATTCGTTTTCTAAAAACCATCCCATGGGTCAAATCAAAACAATATTTAATTTTAGTCACTTAGCTCATTCTTCTGTGTCCTCAACTTATGCAAAATTGATTCTCTCCCACATTTTGCTTAATTAAAAAAAGGATGACATATTCAATTTTAACTTTAGACATCAAATCCTTCTACAGATTGAGCAAAGCTGAGAGGATGAGGACAGATAATGTTCTGCATTGCAAGTGTGTATTTTAGGTTAAGAAAGGCATATTATGTGTCATTTCAAAGCATAGGAAAAACCCTTTTTTGGCAAAAAAAAAAAAAAATTCTCTACCTAAAACAAAACAGGTCCATATCAAACCTAACAAATCTTCTCTGGTTCCTCATCTTCCCCGTTATCTATAAAGCATTTTCTGCTACTGTACCTGAGCAATGAATTAGACTGTTTATAACTTAGAGGAACAGGTTCTGGGATCAAGGGCTAAAGTTTTCACTGACATCTCTTTCAAACACTGGCCTTGTTTAACTTTCTAGCTCTCAAGAGACCACTGAAAACCAACATGTCTTATTCACAAAAATAATTTATAATTAAATGTTTTAGTAAGGATAAAATATATTTCCTTTTTTCTTATTTGGCTGATAATTCTATTATTTTGTGTTAGATAAACACACTTGCATTTTATCTTCTATCAAGACAAGAAGTAAATCAGAATTAGGCATTTTTTAGACACTGAATTAATAAAATTTAATAAACATAATTTTTAGCTCTTGTTCATTGTACTTATGCCAATTTCTGTCCCAGTATCATATATTGGTCACATATGGGCTTATATTATTTTACCTTTAAAATGCTAGATTTAGGAAGAAACTAGTCTACAGACAAATAGTCTACACGAACCATGGCCTCATCTACCCTGAAACCAGAAGAACCAGATGGTGCCTGACTACCAGTACCGACAGTTCGAGTAAGGGCAACAATAGATGGACCCTCAAAAATTGGAGAAAAATGTGGAACAGAACCTCAAAGTCCTAAAAACAACAACAAAAACCCAGATTTACTGGACTGGTTGAGACTGGAAGGCTCCCTGAAACTACTGCCCTAAGATACTCTTCAAACCTTGAACCAAAACTAACCCGAGGCCACCCTGTAGCCAAATAAATAATAATTTGAGATGGGCTCAAAAAATAATAAATATTACCCGTAAGTACTGTGCTCCTTTAAAAAATCACCTATATGTGACCAAACAATCAATAATTACTTTAAAACAAAGATGAAAACATAAGGGGGCAAGGAAACTAGATTAGTGGAAACAGAACTACCAGAACAGAAATAATGTTTACGCACTGTAAAGAATGCAACCAATGACACTGAACAACTTGTGCAGAAAATGTTGAATGGAAACCTAAACTGCTGTGTAAACCTTGACTGAAAACACAATAAAACAGTATTTTCAAAAAATGCTGAAATTTAGGCTCCATAACGCATCTTCCTAGATAAATTTGCAGTAAATAAAAACAAAATAATGGGGTTGGGGGGAAGCCGGGAGAAGAAGAAAGACCCGTGGTCTAGATACCATAGTTCAAAGACTAATGACTTTGTTTGACCAGCTTGGCTAGAAAGATGTACACATGAAAGTTATTTAACTGGTGATGGTGATCACAGTCTGCTCCGTTAACTTGTCAATGGGACAAAAATTCAGTTAAGAAGGCACAGCTACCTGAGACCTCTTGGTGTCACTGGGCAGCAGCAAACTGCCGTCGTTTACATTAAATGTCCGGGTCTTGGTTTTCACAGGCTCATTTGTTTCCCGATAAAGCCTCACAGGGGGAGGCCTGAAAGCCTTCTGGACCAAATTATAAATGCCGACAGTGAGAGCTACGTCTTTGCTGAGCTTAAACTTCAACCTGAAAGAGAGAAAAATCAAAAAGCATGGACTGAAAGACTGTGCTTTCCCATCTAAAATTCCTTCATGGCACCCAAGCCTTAGTTTGTTATATTCTCTCCAATAACCCTAAACAAGCTCTTAGAATAAACATACAATGCACTGGAGTTTGCCATAATACCATCTTAGGGTCTATGACACAAAAAGTAATTTCAGAATATATTAATGACTTAAAATAATGATAATGTACCATAATAAAAGTAACAGTTTTTATTAAGCGCCAACTACATGCCCAGCACCACACCAATCACTTTACAGCTATTTTCTCAATAACTCTTCATAATAACCCTATAAATACTGTATTTATCATCTGTCATTTCTGCTTGTCTGGCATTTCTTTCCCCTTCTTTTAATAATGAAACTCCATTTTTTCTTTGGCAATTACCCTTCCCCCACTTCAGTTCTGGGGGACAGTTAACCAAGATGTGCTACTAAAAACTGGTATTCAAATTCAAGTATATCTGATTCGAAGTTTATGTACCTTTCTATTGGAACATACTGCTCCAGACTGTCAAGAGCAGCCGGTGGTAGTAGCCGGGCACCATCTAGTTGGCTGGACTCAGTCTGGTGGCAGTTGTGGTCCATTAGTCCTTTGGACCAATCTCTCCCTTGTGTCTCTGGATTTCTGCATTCTCCCTTACTCCAGATGGGGTGGGACCAATGGAGTATCTTAGATGGCCGCTCACAAGTTTTTAAGACCCCAACAATCCCTACTCACCAAAGTAGGATGTAGAACATTTTCTTTATAAACTATGTTATGCCAATTGAGCTAGATGTCCCCTGAGGACCTTGGTTCTATTTCTAACCCAAAATAGCAAATCCATTACTCCTTCTACCCCACCTTAAATTTTCACATTTATAAACTGAGGTATCTTTCAATCCTGAACATGTCATAACTCCAAGTTACAAAACAACTACAGTATAACATCATACGGTTTCTGTCCTACCTTGAGAAGGAAAATGTGAAAGACCAGACCATGGTGCAAAACAAGTTGCTTAGTATGTTTAACTTCATCAGAAATGTTTAAGGTTAATAAACGCTATCAGTGGGTAAGTTTCAATCTATCTCAAACGGTTGTCATAAAGATTAAGTTAATATGTCAACAAAGAATTTAGGACAGTGCCTGGCACACAATAACCATGCAAGAGAATTATTTATTTGATTATACTAAGAATATGCTTAATAATTTTCTAGGCCTTAGGTCTAAAGCATTGCCACTTTTCAAACATGTCCAACTTACTATTATTCGTATCAGGTATCCTATTAATGAGATAGACTAACGGCAGTTATGTTCATGAGATCTACAAGATTAGATTGTGTCTTATGCCAGTCTCTTTTGAGATATAAAAGAGAGAAGCGAGCAGAGAGACATGGGGACCTCATACCACCAAGAAAGCAGCGCTGGGATCACAGCGCGTCCTTTGGACTCTGGGTTCCTGCACAGAGAAGCTCCTAGTCCAGGGGAAGACTGACAACAAGGATCTTCCTCCAGAGTCAACAAAGAAAGCCTTCCCCTGGAGCTGATGCCCTGAATTTGGACTGCTAGCCTACTAGACTGTGAGAGAATAAACTTCCATTTGTTAAAGCCATCCACTTGTGGTATTTCTGTTACAGGAGCACTAAATGACTAAGCCACCTAGATTATCCCATTTGATCCTCACTTCAATACTATGGGGAGTAATGATTTTGGTCTCATTTTACTGAGGCTCAGAGAAGTTCATGACTTGGCCCCAAGTCACAGAGCAGAGGGATCAAGATTAGAATCCAAGTATTATGACTCTGGCACCTATATTTACCCACTACTTTATCCTGTCTGTCAACCAACCCCCTCAAGTGTGTGGTAGATTTCCAAATTGTACTAATGACAACAATCCATCATTTCAGGAAGGGTGAACACGTGACAGAGCACTTGTTCAAGCAAAGACAAATAGTTCCTATGGGGAAAAGGAATACAATGACAAAACTACAACTGGAGCAGAAAGTGTGGCTGTGGTTTCCTGAAGATCACTTCATGGATTTTCTAGAACTGCCACTTAATTCTTAAAAACAGTTCAAAAATTACCAAGGGTCATGACCCCTATCTAAAATGAAACCCTAATGCTCTTTAAAAAAAGACACTGAGGAACGCTTGGGATTCTAATACCAAAGTTCTTTAAAAGAACATAATCTGGCCCCCAAGGCATGCCGGGCTCCCAGGGCACCACCACCACCCTGTGCTCATTAGCATTGGGCGCTACTGGCGGCCGGGGCACTGTAGAGGATGAGGAGGACCAGCCTGAGCTGTCGGACAGCAGTGACAAGGCCGCCTGGGAGGATGAGGACGATGCTGAGCTTCCCCACGACAAGCAGCAGACACCCTGCTTGTTCTGTGACAGGTTATTCACATCTGCTGAAGAAACATTTTCACACTGACTTGAATTTTATGGCTACATTAAGCTAATAAATTTTATTAGGCTTAAGAATCCTACAGTTGAGTATATGAATTCCATATACAACCCAGTGCCTTGGGAGAAAGAACACTATTTGAAGCCAGTATTAGAAGATGATCTTTTACTTCAGTTTGATGGAGAAGACCTTTATGAACCGGTGTCACTCCCATTCTCATACCCCAATGGACTCAGTGAAAATGCATCTGTTATTGAAAAATTGAAACACATGGAAGCCAGGGCACTGTCTGCTGAAGCTGCATTAGCTAAAGCACGGGAAGATCTACAGAGAATGAAACAATTTGCTCAGGATTTTGTGATGAACGCAGATGTCAAAACCAGCTCGTCATCTACTGTTGCCATTGCGGACCTCCAGGAGGATGAGGATGGTGTTTATTTCAGCTCATACGGGCATTATGGGATACATGAAGAAATGCTAAAGGACAAAGTGCAAACAGAAAGTTACTGAAATTTTATACACCAAAATCCACGTCTTCAAAGACAAGGTTGTTTTGGATGTTGGCTGTGGAACTGGAATTCTCTCTATGTTTGCTGCTAAATCCGGTGCAAAGACGGTTCTTGGAGTTGATCAATCTGAAATACTTTACCAGGCAATGGATATCATAAGACTAAATAAAGTTGAAGAAAATATACTAATTAGAGGAAAGATTGAAGAAGTTCGTCTTTCTGTAGAAAAAGTAGATGTTATTATATCTGAGTGGATGGGCTATTTTCTTCTTTTTGAGTCTATGTTACAGTCTGTCCTTTATGCAAAAAACAAATACCTGGCAAAAGGAGGATCGGTCTATCCTGACATTTGCACCATTTAAGTCTTGTGGCAGTGAGTGATGTGAATAAACATGCTGATAGAATTGCCTTTTGGGATGATGTCTATGGCTTCAATATGTCTTGCATGAAGAAAGCAGTTATTCCAGAAGCTGTTGTGGAGGTTTTAGATCCAAAGACTCTTACTTCAGACCCTTGTTGTATTAAGCATATAGATTGCCATACAACATCTGTCGCAGATTTGGAGTTTTCTTCAGATTTTACCTTGAAAATCACAAAGACATCTGTGTGCACGGCAGTGCTGGTTACTTTGATATATACTTAGAGAAGAATTGCCACAACAGGGTCATGTTTTCTACGGGTCCCCAGAGTACCAGAACACACTGGAAACAAACAATATTTCTACTGGAAAAGCCATTTTCATTGAAAGCAGATGAGGCCTTGAAAGGAAAGATCACAGTTCACAAGAATAAGGAAGATCCACGCTCTCTCATTGTGACCCTCACGTTGAATAACTCAACTCAAACTTATGGTCTCCAGTGAAAAAGCCACAAAAGCACAACTAACAGTTTTTAATGTGGGGGTAAGGTAGAGGGTGGTGGAAAAGGCTTGGATAATTTTATGTGAGTGCATGGATGATGGGACCTTTCTTAATGAATCTCCTCAGTAAGAGGGAAGCTTGGTAGGAATCTGATATTATTCAACTGAGGAAGTGTACTGACTGATCCTTGTGCTCCATCTATGTAATCTTATTCTTGGAAGTCTGGCAGCCAAATTTAACCTAAGTAATTTTTACATTCAGGTTAGCTGCATTGAAAATCATTTAAATCGGCCCAAATTTGGAACAGAGATAGTCTTTTATTGTTTTTTAATCAGTTTTCTACTGCAAATTTTAAACAGTAGCATTTGATTAGTTATTTATGTTTTTTTAAACTAGTAACCATACACAAGGCATTAAACATTTTATTGCAGATTTGGGGAGGAGTAGTTTTTAATTGTATTGTTTGCTACAATATCAGGATATAATAAAGAGCAAGTGTAAGGGACTAAAATATAGAAAAGAGAGCATCAGCCTTCTGCAAATCCTATTTGAAGGCAACTTAATTGATCATCCTATCCAGCAAATCTATCATTCTCATTTTGTAGTTTCTTCCCTCTTTGTAAATATTTTTTGGCCATATAATTTTCCAGTACTGCCCAGGAAATCTAATTTCAATACATGTATCCTAAGTTTCATAGAAGTTTTTAAAGATCTAGATACACATGTACTTGTTTACTAATACCTTTTTCAAACTAGATTTATGTGCAAAGGTTAAATACACTTATATCACTCTATAAAATTGTGTCATTTAGAGTTACTCAGTTTGAAATGAAGAATGAAGAGCATTCAATAAAATATGTAAAACACCAAAAGAAAAAAAAAGAGAGAGAATCTAACAAACTGGTTTCTATTAATGGCAAGTTATAAGAAATCAGAATAACATATAATGTCTCACAGGAAGATCAGTTAATACAACTATTATTAAAATTTACGCCCCAAACACTAATGCCAAGGATGAACAAATTGAATAATTTTACCAACTTCTGCAATCTGAAATTGATCAAATATGCAATCAAGATGCACTGATAATTACTGGTAATTGGAATGAGAAAGGGGGAAACAAAGAAGAATCAGTAGTTGGAATATATGGCCTTGGTGACAGAAATGATGCCGGAGATTGCATGACATAATTTTGCAAGACCAACAATTTATTCATTGCAAATACCTTTTTTCAACAATATAAGCAGTAACTATATACGTGGACCTCACCAGGTGGAATACACAGGAATCAAATAGCTGTATCTGTGGACAGAGATGATGGAGGAGCTCCATACTGTCAGTCAGAACAAGGCCAGGGGACAATTATGGAACAGACCATCAATTGCTCATATGCCAGTTCAAGGTGAAGCCGAAGAAAATTAAAACAAGTCCACAAGAGCCAAAGTACGAGCTTGAGTATATCCCACCTGAATTTAGAGACCATCTCAAGAATAGATTTGACACATTGAACACTAAAGATGGAAGACTAGACAAATTGTGGTATAATATCAAAGACATTATACATGAAGAAAGCAACAGGTCATTAAAAAGACAGAAAAGACCAAAATGGATGTCAAAGAGACTGTGAAACTTGCTCTTGAGCGTTTAGTAGCTAAAGCAAAAGGAAGAAATGATGACATAAAAGAGCTGAACAGAAGATTTCAAAGGGCAGCTCCAGAAGACAAAGTAAACTTTTATAATGAAATGTGCAAAGACCTGGAGATAGAAAACCGAAAGGGAAGAACATGCTCAGCATTTCTCAAGCTGAAAGAACTGAAGAAAAAATTCAAGCCTCGAGTTGCAATACTGAAGGATTCTATGGCAAAAAATTGAATGAGACAGGACGCATCAAAAGAAATGGAATACACAGAATCACTGTACCAAAAAAAATTGGTTGACGTTCAGCCATTTCAGGAGGTAGCATATGATCACGAACCAGTAGTACTGAAGAAAGAAGTCCAAGCTGCACTGCAGGCAATGGTGAAAAACAAGGCTCTAGGAATTGACCGAATACCAACTGAAATGATTCAACAAACGGATGCAATGCTGGAAGTGCTCACTCATCTATGCCAAGAAATTTGGAAGACAGCTTCCTGACCAACCAACTGGAACAGATCCCTATCTGTGCCCGTTCCAAAGAAAGGTGATCCAACGAAATGTGGAAATTATCGAACAGCATTATTAATATCACATGGAAGTAAAATTATGCTGAAGATAATTCAAAAACAGTTGCAGCAGTATATTGACAGGGAACTGCCAGAAATTGAAGCTGGATTCAGACAAGGACATGGAACAAGGGATATCACTGCTGATGTCAGGTGTATCATAGCTGAAAGCAGAGAATACCAGAAAGATGTTTACCTGTGTTTTACTGACTATACAAAGGCATTCGACTATGTGGATCATAACAAATTATAGGTAACACTGCGAAGAATGAGAATTCTAGAACACTTAGCTGTGCTCCTGCAGAACTTGTACATAGACCAGAGGCAGCTGTTCGAACAAAACAAGAGATACTGCATGGTTTAAAATCAGGAAAGGTGTGTGTCAAGGTTGTATCCTTTCACCATACTTATTCAATCTATATGCTGAGCAAATAATCCGAGAAGCTGGATGGACTATACGAAGAAGAGCTTGGCATCAAGATTGGAGGAAGATTCATTAACAACCTGTGATAGGCAGATGACACAACCTTGCTTGCTGGAAGTGAAGAGGACTTGAAGCACTTACTGATGAAGATCAAAGACTACAGCTTTCAGTATGAATTACATCTCAACATAAAGAAAACAAAAATCCTCACAACTGGACCAATAAGCAACATCATGATAACCAGAGAAAATACTGAAGTTGTCAAAGATCTTGTTTTACTTGGATCCACAATCAACACTCATGGAAGCAGAAGTCAAGAAATCAAATGACACATTGCACTGGGTAAATCTGCTGCAAAAGACCTCTTCAAAGTATTAAACAGCAAAGATGCCACTTTGAGGACTAAGGTGTGCCTGACCCAAGCCATAGTATTTTTAATCACCTCATATGCATGCAAAGGCTGAACAATGAATACGGAAGACTGAAGAAGAATTGATGCCTTCGAATTATGGTGTTGGCGAAGAATACTGAATATACCATGGACTGCCAAAAGAATGAAGAAATCTATCTTGGAAGAAGTTCAGGCAAAATGTTCCTTAGAAGAGAAGATAGTGAGACTTTGTCTCGCTTACTTTGGACATGTTATCAAAAGGGACCAGCTCCGAGAGAAGCACATCATGCTTGGTAAGGTAGACGGTCACTGAAAATGAGGAAGACCCTCAAGGAGATGCACTGACACAGTGGCTACAACAATGGACTCACACATAACAATCATTATGAAGATGGCACAGGACCGGGCAGGGTTTTGTTCTGTTGTGCACGGGGTCACTGTTGAGTCAGAACCAACTCTATGGCACCTGACAACAACAACAACAACATTTATTGAGTTGCTGCTACATTCCAGGCTCTATATCATAAGCGCTTTTCATTTAATCCCCACTACAACCTAATGACTCTATGGACTCAAATCTACCAATGATCACGAGGATGACGTAGGACCAGGCAACATTTTGTTCTGTTATACATTAAGGTCACCACGAATTACAGCCAACTAGACAGCAATCTGACAACAACAACCTAATCAGGCAGGTACTACCATTATCCTCAATTTACAGAGGAGAAAGCAGACAAATGTATAACTGAGGATACCGTTAAACTACAACTGTTTAACTCAAGAAAATGGAGGGTTTTGTTATTTTGGAGAAATACCATGCCAGCTCTTTCCAGAGAAAGAGAAGCAAATGGCTTGTGCCATGCTGATATAAAGCCAGGTTTTTAGAGAATGCAGTGGAGCAGAAACACAGCCCAGAGGGAAGTAACCAGGGAGGTCAAAGCAATGCATTGCTTGTGAATTGTTAGGGGACTTGTGGGTGGTTAACCCAGGCTCAGAGCACACCTGCCAAGCGCGCGCTTCTTGCTCTCCTTGGCTCGAACCTTCCTCAACAGGTCTTCCAGTTTGCTCGATTCCTCAAAATGAACCCCTATGTCCTCATCCTCTGCTACGCTGATGATATCTCTGTAGAATAAGGATATATCAAAGCCCCCAGGCTTCTTCAGGTGCATCAAGTCAAGGAAGATACCTGGTGCAAGGACAGACAAAAGTGCAGAAAAAAATCAATTTTCATATCTTAATTACTAAAGTATGTTTGCTTTGAGCACTGTGCTCTTTTAAAGAATCATGTATGTGAGATCAAATTGACAACATCAACTCCAAAGGTTGGATGGGAAGCTTAGGGGGCAGTGAGTTTAAGATAACGATGGTGTAATAATTTGGAAAAAGATGGTGAGAAGGGTAATCAGTGTCACTGAATTGCACATGTGGAAATTTCTGAAACGGTGTATCTTCGGCTGTGTATACTTTCACCAAAAGAAAAAAAAAAAATCATGTGAAGAATCTGAATAAAATTATCACAAAGAAAAACAAAATCAATGTTCAGCAAGTGAGAATTTTTTTTCAGTTAAGCTCAAGTATGCCTTTAAAAAACTCCTGAAGAACTAGACTGATTATGAACAACTGCAAGACTTAGCAAAAGTGGCTAAGGAAATCAAATGCTGTAATGACTTCAGACAACGTATTCCAATAACCCACACTCAGGGTAGCATTAAATCTACGACAAGCCCCCTCTGGAAGAGCCCTTGACAGCTAATGGCATGGCCACGTTCAGGGTTAATGTTACCTGGATGTCTCCCCCTGGCTTCACTTTATTCTTTCATTTTACTGTGAATGGGGAAAAGCAAATGCTTGAAACAGCAGTCATATAAACTGCCAATTTAAAACAGTAGGGAGAATGCCTACCTGTGTCACGGAGATCAGCAGCTTTGGTCCTGGCCCGACTAGCTTTGGCACTGTCATTGCCATGGGGGTCGTCTTCATTGGTGAACAGCATGATCCTCTTGTGACTCATCTTGAACTGGACATCACTAAAGAGGTTGGCACAGACCCACAGTGCTTCGCTTAGTGAATAGTCAGATCCACAGCCAATTAGGTCTTGGAAATGTTTCTTTCCCAGCTGTCCCTTAAACCGGTCAAGCTCTAGCACTCGTTTGGCACCTGGTCAGAGGCAGGGGGTCAAATGGACAGAAAAATGAGAACGGTGTCAGTGCTCCCTTTACCACAAGACTGACACAGAAGAGCCTCAGGTCCCCTTCTCACCCCAGGGCTGTTTAACCCATATAGTGAAGTCCACATCCCAGTAAGAACCCCCTTCTGCCCCAGTAAGAACCCCCTTCTGCAGGAAAGCATAATCCCAGCCAAGATGTAATTGCTTCTTTCTCCACATCCCTCTTTGTTCAGGGTAGTAACATGCTCATGTAAGGAAAACAACTGATCTTAAAATATTGCTTACCTGGATTGTCCAACTCCTGTAAGACATAAATATTTTTGAAATTCACTGAATTTTTGTCTTTCTTGGTACCATAGAACACCACTGCCAAGAGATCCCGATCACTGCTTATGATCTTGTTGGTGTACACACTCAGGATGCACTGAAAAAAGGAAAATAAAAATTCAATTAGTCAGTTACCACTAAACATAAGCCCTATAAATACCTGGCATATAGTAGGTGCTCAATAATCCTGACTTTCAGGACACCCACACATCAGTGAGAGTGGTGGGCATATACATCAAGACATAACAAAAAGCAGTGTTGTAAGTATATAATAAACGTATAAGCGGTCCCTACTGGGTGGCACAAATGGTTAAGTGCTCAACTACTAGCTGTAAGGTTGGCAGTTTGAACCCACCCACAGGTACCTCGGAAGACAGTCTTGGTGATCTGCTTCTGAAAGGTGACAGCACTAAAAACCCTATGGAGCAGTTCTATTCTGCACAAAGGAGTCGCCATGAGTTGGAATCGACTTGACGGCAACTAACACCAACTATAAGAAATCAGAGGCTTAAAAACATGTACCTTCTCAGGGAGGGAACTGTACTATAGGGGAACAAGGGAAAAAAGCCCTGCTACCTATATGGAATCAAATTGACAACAGCAACTCCAAAGATTAGACGGGAAACGTAGGGGGCAGTGAATTTATGTTAAGGGAGGAGGAATAACCCAGAAAAGGAGGGTGAGTACAACCAAATGCCTCATGGGATTTGGTTCCTTGGTTTCGAGCTAAGGGTCGTGGTTTCATGGGACACCCCAGCTAACAGGCCTAATAACATGTTTAGTGCCTCCTAGTTCAATGCATAGTGCCTGGGGTCTTAAAAGCTTGCAAGCAGCCATCAAGGGACAGTTTCTCTCTATTCGCCTGGAACAACAAAGGAATAAGCAAAAAGGAGTGTCAGGAATAGGAGGAGGATGTGGAATGTGTGGCTAACGCCTCTATAAACAACTGCCTCCTTTGCCATGAGACCAGAAGAACTGGATGCTGCCTGGCTACCATTACTGAACATTTTGATCAAAGATTCCACGCAGAAGAGAATCTCAAATTCTCGTGGACTCTGGACTTTCTGGAGCCACGGAGGGTGGATGAACTCCTGAAATTATTGTCCTGAGATAATCCTTAAACCTTAAACCAAAAATATCCCCTGAAGTCATCTTAAAACCGAACAACAATTTAGCTTCACTAGTAAAAAAGGTCTGCCTTGAGCATTATGCTCTTTTAAGAACTATCTATACGGCATCAAGTTAACAACAGTAACTCAAAAGATTAGACAGGAACCTTAGGAGGCACTGAATTTATGTTAATGGGGGAGGAACAACTCAGAAAAGGAGGATGAGAAAGGTTACACAACTTGAAGAGTGTAATCAATGTCACTAAATGGTACATGTAGAAACAGTTCAATCGGTGTAGTTTGCTGTGTAGATTCTCAACAACCAAAAAAAAAAAATGCCCTGCAGTGGAATCAGAAAACCTTAATGTCTTAATGTGAGTCCCACCGATGCCACTTACTTGGTTGAGTTTGGGAAGGTCACTTAATGTCTCCTTGAGTATACTGACACCAGGAAAACAGATTTTACATACATAAAATAATTAAAATATTATGTTTATGATAAGTATGCGTGACGTAAAAATTAATCTATAACAACTAACATCATCCTTTTAAATAAAATTTGCTCAATTACCCAATTAAAGACATCAGTATTCCAGTCACAGGAAAGATCTATCCACCACTATAAACTAATGTCAGCATCTGCTAAGTCAGTGCTTCCTAAGTGTTGGTCAGTCCTTGGGGGCCTGTTCAATTCTGGCTGCACCGACAAAATTAAGTTTCTGATTCTGCAAAGCTGAAGAATAAATGTATCTGGTAACTCCCTACCCTATGTCTTGCCTGAGTGTCTAACTTGCATTCCTCCATAGCCATTCTCTCTCCTTAAATGCAGAACCTACATTACGTTTGGTCATGGACAATCATCTGCATGGCAAGTACTCACTTCTAAAAGCATTTACAAAAATCTGGTGAAGGCTTCTTCTAGGTTCTAAGAGTTAAAAACACTAAAACTAAAGTAGAATTTTAGAAAATGTTGCTTCATTGTTTATCAAATGTACACTACTCACTTATGACTTTCTCATTTATTTGCTACACAATACTACAGTCTTTCCAGGGTCTCTAGGCTTCAAGGGTTCCATGAACCCTTTGAAATTATATGCATAACTGTGAGTGTATCTTTTGGGGGAGAGGGTCTATAGCTTTCCTCACATCCTCAAAGAGATCCATGATCCAAAAAAGGTTAAAGCAGTGGTCCTCAAAATGGTGTCTCCAAACAGGCAGCAACAGCATCACCTGGGAACTTGTTGGAAATGCAAATTCTTGGGCCCCACTCCAGACCTATAGAATTAGAAATTCTGATTCTAGAGTGAGGCCTAGCAATCTGTTTTAACAAATCCTCCAGAGGATTCTGATGTAAGCTAAAGTTTGAGAACCACTGCTTTAAAGTAACGGATTTCTTTCTTTATTCTTTTCTTAGATGTAAGATACTGTGATTTGCCAACTACAGAACTGTTAGTGTGCAAACAAATTAAACATGAACAGATTCTGTTTGGTTCCAAACTCTAAAAATATGACATAGGAGATATAGAATAAAACATTGAAAATTCTTCTCTACGAAGCAGGTAAGAGAAATAGCAATCTTTTTTAACCACAGGTTAAAAATATCACTGACAAGAGGACTCATCTCCACACCATAATTGCCAGAATGTCCCGTCTTCCTTTACACTCCCATCTCTGCAGAAGGAGAAGCCCTAAAGCTACTCCTAGGGCTCTGCAGAAGGTGGGGGCAATGAGTCCTAGAGTGCTAAATTCAACAGCCCCCCACCCCCCAAAAAAAGACTTTTTCTCCAGCATTGTTACTCCTTTTCAGCAGCATGTATATACAGCCATCCTGGGAGGCTGATCACCATTTATCATTCACAAATAAACTTTCCAAAGAGCCCATAATTTTTAAGATGGTTTGTCATAGTTATTGTCTTAGTCATCTAGTGCTGCTATAACAGAAATACCACAAGTGGATGGTTTTAACAAAAAGAAGTTTATCTCCTTAAAGTAAAGTAGGCTAAAAGTCCAAATTCAGGGTGTCAGCTCCAGGGGAAGGATTTCTCTCTCTCAGCCTTCTCATCAGTGTTGTCCCCAGACTAGGAGCTTCTCGGCGCAGGGACCCCCGTCCAAAGGATGTGCTCTGCTCCTGGCACTGCTTTCTTGATGGTATGAGGTCCCCCAATTCTCTGCTTGCTTCCCTCTCCTTTTATCTCTTGTAAGGTAAAAGGTGGCGCAGGCCACACCCTAGGGAAACTCGCTTTACATTGGATCAGGGATGTGACCTGGGTAAGGGTGGTGTTATAATCCCACCCTAATCCTCTCTAACATAAAATTACGATCACAAAATGGAGGCCAGCACACAATTCTGGGAATCAGAGCCCAGCCAAATTGATACACACATTTTTTGGGGGACATAATTCAAACCATGACAGTTATCTAGTGCTGCTATAACAGAAATACAAGTGGATGGCTTTAACGAACAGAAATTTCTTTTCTTACAGTTTAGGAGGCTAGAAGTCCAAATTCAGGTGCTGGCTCTAGGCTCAGGGTTCTCACTGTTGGCTCTGGGGAAAGGTCCTTGTCCCTTCAGCTTCTATTCCTTGGCTCCCTGGTGATCTCCACGTGGCAAGGCATCTATCATACCCCATCTCTGCTTGTTCCTTGTCCCTTGTAAGAAACTGACTCAAGACACACCCTACACTAATCCTGCCTCATTAACGTAACAGACAACTCATTCCCAAATGGGATTATAGCCACAGGCATAGAAGTTACAATTTATAACATATATTTTTGGTGGACACAATTCAATCCATAACGTGGTTTTAATACATTTAGGGTAGGAGCTTGTTTGTTTAGTAAATAAAAAAGGCAGTCGTACCTCAATGCTCATTTCAAAAGGAGTCAATTCATTTTCATCACCTTCATTTTGAGATTCAAACATGGCCCTGGAGGCGTCAACCAAGAAAATCAAACTATCTCTTCCTGAATATTTATATTCTCCTGTAAGGGAAACAAAATGAAAGAAAGTATTTGTCCTTGTGTTCATATTTATCATGTTTATCATTCATATAAAACAAACAGAGGAAAGCCATAAGACAAAACATCAGCCTAATGAAAGATTATAAGATGAACACCCTTAAAACCACTACCCATGTCAGGAAATTGAACCATGCCACTTATACCAGAAGCCCCCTACATATTTCCCCTCCCATGAGAAGCCCCCTCCCCTCAAGAGTTACCACTATCCTGGCTTTTGGTAATCACTTCCTTACTTTTCTTTTTAATTTCATCATCCAAGTCTATATCCCTAAACACTAGTTTTACTTATTTTTTAAAACATCTTTGAAGCCTCTTAATCTATAGATACTCCCTCCATATTTTTTCCCCTTTCAACTTAATTTGTTGACAAACCAGGAAATTTGTCATGTAGTTTCCCAGGCTGTGGCTTTTGATGATTGCATCTTTTTGGTGTAGATTAACATAGTCCTCTCCTCTGTATTTCCTACAAAGGACCTACCTTCAGGCTTAATCAGATTCAAGTTTTTGTTTGTTTTTTTGCATGACTATACCATAGGAGATATTGTATTTTTCAAAAAAAGGCATATAACGTCTGGTTGTCTCTCTCTTTGACGCTGCTGGTGCTTAATACAATAAATTTAATTATCTACCTTTTGGGAAACAATATGGCAATATATATCAAGAGCCTAAAACACAAGATTTCCAACTTTGACCAAATGATTCTAAGTATTTCTTAGTAATCTGTCCTAGGAAAATAAAATATGAAAAAACCTTTATGCAAAATTTATCATGATGCTGTTTATTAATGAAATGAAAATAAAATATCCATCAGAAGGCAGACTGAGTGAATAAATTACCATACATTTAAAATGAGTCAGACAGACTAGATCTCTGTAGTTGCACGGAGAGATATCATACTTACGAAAACCATAAGGAAAAAAGAACACAAAATTATGTATCTACATTTAAGATCTTTCTTGAATAAGACCGGTGCAATTTTTCAAGGAAAAAATTATATATGTACTATCATTACAACTACACAAAGAAAATTAAATTCAAAAAAAAACAGATACTGTAGTTACATACGTAAAATGAAAGACATCTATAGAAGGAAATATGCAAAATGCCAAAATGCTGCTAGCGGTTGTGCTGTTGTTGTTAGGTGCCATTGAGTCGATTCCGACTCATAGTGACCCTATATATAAAACAGAACAAAACACTGCCTGGTCTTGCGCCATTCTCACAATCATTGCTATGCTTCAGCCCACTGCTGCAGCCACTGTGTCAACCTATCTCACTGAGGGTCTTTCTCTTTTTCACTGACCCTCTAGTTTACAAGCATGATGTCCTTTTCCAGGGACTGGTCCCTCCTAACATGTCCAAAGTATATAAGACAATGTCTCACCATCTTCACTTCCAAGAACCATTCTGGCTATACTTTTCCCAAGACAGATGTGTTCATTTTTCTGGCAGTCCACGGTATATTCAATATTCTTTGCCAACACCATAATTCAAAAGCTTCAATTCTTCTCTGGTCTTCCTTATTCGTTGTCCAGTTTTCGCATGGACATGAGGCGATTGAAAATATCATGACTTGGATCAGGTACATCTTAGTCCTCAAAGTGGTATCTTTGCTTTTTAACACTTTAAAGAGATCTTTTGCAGCAAATTTGCCCAGTGCAATACATCATTTGATTTCTTAACTTCTGCTTCTATGCGCACTGATTGTGGATCCAAGTAAAATAGTGGTTGTGTTAGGATGGTAGATTATACTAGTTTTTCTCTTTTCTTTATTTTTTATATTTCCTATATTTTTCTCACTTTGAATAAAAACAATTTGTAAAAGTTTCTACCCCAGGAGTTAAATTAACCAGTATGTAGATTACATGTGGTCTATTTGATTCCCGTGTATTCCATCTAGCGAGGTGCACCTGTAAAGTCACCATTTGTTGTTGAAAAAAGGGATTTGCAATGAAGAAGTCGTTGGTCTTGCAAAATTCTATCAAACCATCTCCAACACTGTTTCTATCACCAAGGCCACATTTTCCAGGTACCGCTCCTTTTTCGTTTCCAACTTTTGTGTTCCAGTCACCAGTAATTATCAACGCATCTTGACTGCATGTTCGATCAATTTCAAACTGCAGAAATTGGTAAAAATCTTCAATTTTCTCATCTCTGGCAATTAGTGGTTGCTGTGTAAATTTGAATAATAGTCATATTAACTCGTTTTCCTTGTAAACGTATGGATATTATCCTATCACTGACAGCTCTGTACCTCAGGACACATCTTGAAATGATCTTTCTGACGATGAATGCAACGTCACTCCTCTTCAATTTGTCATTCCTGGCATAGTAGACCATATGATCGTCCAATTCAAAATGACCAATACCAGTCCATTTCTGCTCACTAACACATAGGATATTGATCTTTATGCATTCCATTTCATTTTTGACAACTTCCAGTTTTCCTAGATTCATACTTCCTACATTCCATGTTCCAGTTATTAACGGATGTTTGAAGCTGTTTATTTTCATTTTAAGTCATGCCACCTCAGCAGATGAAGGTCTCAAAAGCTTTACTCCATCCTCATCATTAAGGGTGACTCTACTTTGAGGAGGCGGCTCTTCCCCAATCATATTTTGAGTGCCTTCCAACCTGAGGGGCTCATCTTCAGGCCCCATACCAGACAATGTTCTGCTGCTATTCATAAGGTTTTCACTGGCCAATTGTTTTCAGAAGCAGACCGCCAAGTCTGTCTTCCTAGTCTGTCTCAGTCTGGAAGCTTTACTGAGACCTGTCCACCATGGGTGACCCTACTGCTATTTGAAATACCAGTAGCATAGCTTCCAGAATTACAGCAACATGCAAACCACCACGGTACGACAAATTAACAGATGCGTGGGCAACTATACAAGTGGACCTCGCCAGATGGAGTACACAGGAATCAAATCACTACATCTGTGGAAAAAAATGATGGAGAAGCTCAACATCATCAGTCATAAAAAGGCCGGGGCCAACTGCGGAACAGACCATTAACTGCTCATATGCAAGTTCAAGTTGAAGCCGAAGAAAATTAGAGCAAGTTTACAAGAGCCGAAATGCGACCTTGAGTATATCTCACCTGAATTTAGAAACCATCTCAAGAACAGATTTGACACATTGAACACTAATGACCGAAGACCAGATGAATTATGGAATGACATCAAGGGCAGCATACATAAAGAAAGCAAAAGGTCATTAAAAAGACAGAAAACACCAAAATGGATGTCAGAAAAGACTCTGAAACTTGCTCTTGAACGTACAGTAGCTAAAGAGAAAAGAAGAAATTATCAAGCAAAAGAGCTGAACAGAAGATTTCAAAGGATGCCTCAAGAAGACAAAGTAAAATACTATAATGACATGTTCAAAGACCTGGAGTCAGAAAATCAAAAGGGAAGAACATGCTCAGCATTTCTCAAGCTGAAAGAACTGAAAAATAATTCAAGCCTCAAGTTGCAATACTGAAGGATTCTATGGCAAAATACTGAATGACACAGGAAGCATCAAAAGAAAATGGAAGGAATATACAGAATCACTGTACCAAAAAGAAATAGTCAACTTTCAGCTACTACAGGATGTAGCATACGATCAAGAACCAGTGGTACCAAAGGAAGAGGTACAAGCTGCACTGAAGGGACTGGCAAAAAACAGGGCTCCAGGAATTGATGGAATACCAATTGAGATGTTTCAACAAACAGATGCAATGCTGGAGGCGCTCACTCATCTATGCCAAGAAATGTGGAAGACAGCTTCCTGGCCAACGGTCTTAGTCATCTAGTGCTGCTATAACAGAAATACCACAAGTGGATGGCTTTAACAAAGAAAAGTTTACTTCCTCACAGTAAAGTAGGCTACAAGTCTAAACTCAGGGCTTCAGATCCAGGGAAAGGCATTCTCTCTCTGTCAGCCTTCTCATCAGTGTTCCCCCGGACTAGGAGCTTCTCCGTGCAGGGAACCCGGGTCCAAAGGACACGTTCTGCTCCTGGCACTGCTTCCTTGCTGGTATGAGGTCCCCCTGTCTCTCTGCTCACTTCTCTCTTTTATATCTCAGGAGATTGCCTCAGGACACAATCCAATCTTGTAGACTGAGCCCTGTCTTACTAACATAACTGCCACCCATCCTCCCTCATTAACATCACAGAGGCAGGATTTACAACATAGAGGAAAATCACACAATACCAGGAATCATGGCCCAGCCAAATTGATACACACATTTTTTGGGGAACATAATTCATTCCATGACACCAACTTACTAGAAGAGATGCACATTTGTGCCCATTCCAAAGAAAGGTGATCCAACAGAATGTGGAAATTATCAAAAAATATCATTAATATCACACACAAGTAAAATTTTGCTGAAGATCATTCAAAAGCAGTTGCAGTGGTACATCAACAGGGAACTGCCAGAAATCAACCTGGATTCAGAAGAGGACATGGAAGGAGGGGTATCACTGCTGACGTCAGAGGGATCCTGGCTGAAAGCAGAGAATACCAGAAAGATGTTTACCTGTTTTATCGACTACGCAAAGGCATCTGACTGTGTGGATTGTAACAAATTATGGAGAACATTGCGAAGAACAGGAATTTCAGAACACTTAATTGTGCTCATGAGGAACCTGTACATAGACTGAGAAGCAGTCTTTTGAACAGAATGAAGGGATACTGCGTGGTTTAAAGTCAGGAAAGTTGTGCATCAGGGTTGCATCCGGTCATCATACTTATTCAATCTGTATGCTGAGCAAATAATCTCAGAAGCTGGACTATATGAAGCAGAACGCAGCATCAGGACTGGAAGACTCATTAACAACCTGTGATATGCAGATGACACACAAGCTTGCTTGCTGAAAGTGAAGAGGACTTAAAGCACTTACTGATGAAGTTTAAAGGCCAGAGCCTTCAGTATGGATTGCACCTCAACATAAAGAAAACAAAACCCCTCACAACTGGACCAATAAGCAACATCGTGTTAAACGAAGAAGATATCGAAGTTATCAAGGATTTCATTTTACTTGGATCCACAATCAAGACCCATGGAACGGCAGTCAAGAAATCAAACGATATACTGCATTGGGCAAATCTGCTGCAAAAGACTTCTTTCAAGTGTGAAAAAGCAAAGATGTCACTTTGAGGACTAAGGTGTGCCTGACCCAACCCATGGTATTTTCAATCGCCTCATATGCTTGCAAAAGCTGGTCAATGAGTAAGGAAGACTGAAGAACTGATGCCTTTGAATTATGGTGTTGGCGAAGAATACTGAATATACCATGGACTGCCAGAAGAACGAAAACTGTCTGTCTTGGAAGAAGTACTGCCAGAATGCTCTTTGGAGGCAAGGATGGTGAGACTTTGTCTCACGTACTTTGGACATGCTATCAGGAGGGACCAGTCCCTGGAGAAGGACATCATGCTTGGTAAAGTACAGGCTCAGCAAAAAAGAGGAAGATCCTCAACAAGACGGGACTGACACTGGCTGCAACTATGTGCTCAAGCATAACAATTGTGAGGATGGCGCAGGATTGGGCAGTGTTTCATTCTGTTGTACACAGAATTGCTATGAGTCAGAACCAACTCAACAGCACCTAACAACAGCAACAGATCGCACGTACACCCATTATTTATCTTCTTTTCTTCTATGTGTTGCTATGTTGCTTGAGTATACACTCCCAAACCTGGAGACTAAACCCAACCCGTTGCCGTCGAGTTTACTCCAATTCATCGTGAGCCCACAGGACAAAGCAGAACTGCCCCATAGGGTTTCCAAGACTGTAATCTTTACAGAAGCAGATTGCCACATGCCATCTCTTTCTCCTGGAGAGTGTCTGGTGGATTTGAACTGCTGACTTTTCTGCTAGCAGCCAACTGCTTAATCACTAGGCTACCAGGGCTCCTTACGTGGAACCTGAGGGGAGGGAATGACTCTACTGTCTGGTGGGTAACGTTTACTCTGGGGTTGCTGTGGTTATTGTAGATTGAAGGCATTTTTACACTGAGGCCCTGGAATGAGTAAAACTACTTTCCTCGGTGAGTAAGCCTCTACCCTGAGCCACCTAAGTGGCAGAGGATACCCATGGTCAGGGTCATTTATTAGCATTCAACAGGTGTTAATTTACCACTGTCCCGCAAAAGTTTCAGCCTAGAGATGTCCCACAGACTAGAACTGGAAATGATTAAAAGAGTCTTGAAGAGCTCAGCACAGTTCAAAGGAAGAAATGGGTTTGGGATTATCTGGGGAGAGAAGAGTGGTCCATTAGACAGCAAAAGCCATTCAGCAGAGATAGACCGGGGAGGTCTTTTCTTCCACACAAAACGTTACTACAAGTTTAAGTCTCTTACCACCTGCTTCAGGGCCCTCATGTTGTTCTTCTTCTTCTTCATCTCCCTCGTTTTTGTAATAAGACTCCCACCCTGACATGGCAGTTACTGCTCACTAGAGGAAAGAAGGTTAAGGTCAGTGACCAGAAAATTTAAACCGAAAAAAAAAAATCGACTCCTAGGCTCCTCTGAGATCTGTCCTAAGGGTTCGAGGTTAGTCATGAGGAATACGGGTGCTGGATCCTGCTGCCCCGACGGCTCCCGCCAGTTGGTGCGGCGGTAAGTGGGTATGAGGATCATTCCAGTAGAAGCCTCACCTTAAGTATCCCTTACAGACGCTTCAGGGCCGGTGGTGGCCCGAGGAGGCCGCTTTGGTGGATGTGTGGGTTCAGCCCAACCCTGGGATCCCCGTCCCGCACACAGCGCCATCTGGACTGTGAGGGATTCCCGCTCTGGGATACTTCGTCTTCTAGCGGACCCGCCGGTCCTCATCACGCCGAAACCCTCAACCCCTAGCCAGTCACGCCCAGTGGGTCGCCGCAGGAGGCCTCAAAGGCCAGGTTCCGCCTCCCCGGGAAGAGGACGCGGGGTCCCCAGTCTCTCTACCCTTCATATCTGAGCATTTCAGGCCGACGGCGAGGCTAGGGGGGCGCGTGACACTGAGTAGGTGAAGCGTGACGAGGCCAGCCCTCGATAGTGAGCAACTTCCACAGAACATAGCCCTTCCTTGTTTACCTTCGGTGCAGAAAACAGCAACTTGGACCCGGCCTGGAGCGCCGCGCACGCGCAGGCTCCAGCTCTCGCTCCCAGTCAACGCCTCACCGTCATCACGCATCGCGCGCGCTCCTTATCGTCAAATTGACACGCCCACTACTCCAAAGAGCTTTCTACACGCGTCCCGAATTAACACCAGCCCCGTTTGCTAAAGCCCCGCCCCAGATTGCGAAGCCCCGCCCCTCCCTGCCCGTCAGGGCGGTAGGCACATGCGCGTAAGCGCGCCCCCGCCCCCTCCCTCTCTTCCGCGCCGTTCTTGCCGGTCCCGGCTCTGTCACCTCACAGTTGTCGTTGCTGGTGGCGGGTGCGGGGGCGCGAGCAGCGCAGGGCCGCCTTTCCCCCGCCCCTCAGGCCTGGCCCAGGCTCGCTCCCCCCCCACCGCTCCTTCCGCTCCCACCCAGTCGGGTACGGGAAGGTCCGAGCCACTGCCGGGTGCCAAAGGGACGTCGTGGCCGCTGCCGCCACGGGTCCCGATGGAGCCGCCGAATCTCTATCCGGTGAAGCTCTACGTGTACGACCTGTCTAAGGGCCTGGCCCGACGGCTCAGCCCCATCATGCTGGGTGAGGGGGCTGGGGGCGGGCGGGAAGCAGGGCTGGAGCCGGGTAAGAAGGTCCTGGTGCGGCCGGCCATGGGGGGAGGCCGGGACCCCGGCTCAGGGCGGGGACATCGGGCCCAGAGGACCCTCCCCTGCGCTAAAAATGGAAGAAAAGCCCGAATGGAGAAGGGACAGCCTGTCCAGGGTTTGGGCCCCCTGAGCCGCGCTTCCCCGTCTTCACGTTTAAATCCTGGGAGAAGGGATGGAGAAGTCACGCCCTCCGCAAGCCGGAGCTCCGGCAGACACACTTCTCGAGCCCCTGTAGCGGGGGGTGGGGGTAGGGGAAGCTGGCGCCGGTCTGCGCGGATTCCCCCTCCGTACGCCTCCTTCCTCGCGCCGTGTCGGCAGGGAAGGATGCCTGCCTTGTGGTGACAGGGACACTGCAGAAGAGATTCGCCGGTGGCCCTAGGAAAGCCTGCCTTCTGTTCCAAAAGGAAACTCCCTCCCTGCAGTCCCTGGGGTGGGCGGAAAGGGAGCGCCTGAGCGTCGTCGCCCCAGGTAGAGGGAAAGTCAGGTCGCCAGGAGCCGGAACTCCAGAATTCACCAAGTTCGGCCTCAAGATGTGCCTTCTCACAACAGTTTCTAAGTTAATGTCTTTGGCCCAGGTGGTAAGAAAGCAATGCCAGGGGGAGGATTGGATGCTGTTGTGTCAGTAGGGTTAATAAGGGAAGTATTTCGGCTGTGCTATTAAACTGGTTAACTACCAGGAGAGAAAACCAGCTCTAGTTCAGTGTAGATCAAATCTCATTACAACCCACATACCAAAATGTCTTGTGTAACATAGGAATTGTCAGGTGTGTGATTTCAGATGTTAGGCAGGACCAGATTCCAAGAGTTGAAAATGAAACTCCTTTGGCAATACCCTTTTGAATGGATGGTTTTTCCTGGTTTCTAAGGAGACATTGGAGAATGTTTTTCTTGGTGAGACAAGGGGTCAGAGGTCAAATAAGCAAGGCGACTTCTGAGGGCATCTTTTCAATGTCCTGAATTTCTAATGTGTTGTAGTGAGTTGAACTTAAATCTCTTAACCTTGGTCCAGTGAATAGTTCCTATGTTTGGCTTCACATCAGAATTATGTAGAATGCTTGTTAAAAATACAAATGCGTCCGTTTCCAACATATATGGTTAAATGAGAAAAGAAAAAACCACATTAGAACAATTCTTTAAATATGCAAGTGTGTGCTTAAAGCAAAAGACATACCTGTATTTGCTTAAGTAAGTAATTATCTGGAAGGATACACAAGAAATTGCTAACTGGTAATTTATAGAAAGAGGAACTTGATACCTCAGGGGCAGGAGTGGAAGCGAAAGTTTGCTGTAAACTTTTTCATGCCTTTTGAATTGGGTAGTACATGCATATATTACCTATTCAAAATAAGCAAACTCTTACATATATGGATTTAAATATATATTTTTTAAATATATGGATTCTAAGGCCTCACTTCACAAATGCTAAATCAAAATCCTCTGGAGTGTGATCCAAAATTCTAGATTTTAAATAAACTCCTCAGATAATTCTCATATCACCAGCCCATTATTGGACAGAAGTTTGGGCCTAGATCAATGATGGCTAAAATGAGGAAGGCAAATCTGAAAGGGAAACTAACAAAGTCACTGTTTGAGGAAGATGTTAATCATTAATAGATTACATCAGTGGAGTTGTAACTGAATTTCTTGGTACAGAGCTATTTGGTTTGGTCATAGTGAAGAGGCATTCTTAGACCCATAAGGAAGTAAAAATTGCCCCCTTTATACTGGGTATTACGCCCACGTATATAACAACCCACACATATTACATAATGTGTAGAAATGATGAAATTAAGTAAAACAGTTTTGGCATAATGTGAGCGTTATTGTTGTAGGCTGAAAGAGGCCTTAGAGATCATTACTTTGTTCAACAGACATTTGTTGAGTGCCTGCTACGTGCTAGTCAATGTGCTAAGTTCAACTGAGGATGCCATGAAGAGCAAAGACATGCTCTTTGCCATCATGGAATCTAGTGGGGAAAACATTAGAAAAAACAAGCAAATAAAATAATTTCAAATTGTGCAAAGTGCTGGGCTGTGCAGGAAGCACGCTGGGCACAGAGGTAGAAGTGAGACCTATTTTAAGGAGAGAGACCTAAATAAGGGTAGCATGAATAGTGACTTAAGCTGGGAGTTTAAGGATGAGGAAGTAGTCACAAGGAGAGTGGGAAAAACAGAGGGATTAACCTCCAAAGGCCCTGAGGCAGGAAAAGGCCTGACCTTGTCCTGGATCAGAAAGAACGCCTTGGTGTGGAGTGTAGTGGGTGAAAGGGAAAGGGCCATAACTGGAGGTGGAGTGATAGCCCTGCATCTACCACTGCCCCTTTTTTTTTTTTCTAAATAGATGTGAGATCCTGGAAAGCTTCAGCCAAAAATAGGAACTTCGCCAGTTTGGCACGTCTGATCACAGTGGTATTTCTGAGGACATCACCTTGCCTGCCAAATCTGATTTTCTCTATCCTTTTTATCCCATATTGCTTTATGCCTTTTGCAAAAGTAATATCTTGAAGACATGAAGAAAGGGTTATGGAAGCTAACAGTCATGCTTTCTAATAGTCATGAGTCCTCAGCTTACTACTTCATCCGTTACAGACACACTAACCTTAAAGGTGGGTGTGGCTCAGTTCTGTGAGTAGTCGTATATTGATCCCTCTCATTCCTAAATATATTTGAATCTTTAAAAAATCAATTTGTTTCCTGATGTTTGCAATGAATTCTACAAGTATATTAATAGCTAGCTAGCATTTATTGAGAGCTTACCATGTGCCAGCCCCCCCGACCCCCCTTTTTGTTTGAGTGTTTTGCATGGGTTATAATTCTCACCACAGCTCTGTGAGATAAGTCCTGTTATTACCTCCATTTTTCAGTTGAGGAGCTTGAGACCCAGGGAGTTAAGAATTTGCCCCAGGTCATGTAGCTGGGAAGTGGCAGGGCCAGGTTATGAACACAGACAGTCTGCCTTCCAGAGCTCATGTTCTCGATCATTTTGCTACACCACCTCTACTGTGTACTGTATTTTTTAACTGATGTAAAGTAGGTGCCTTGTTCAAATTTATAAAGGCATCCTGAGCCAAGTACTTCAAGTTTAGATGAGAAGAAAAATCTGGATTCAGTGTGCATGTGCCTTTTGTAATCTTAATAGATTTACGGTCATCCCTCTTAGCCTTCATCTTTCCAGACTAGAGAAATCTCATCTTTTTAGTGTGACCTCATTAGCTGGGCAACACTCATTAGCATTTAGTGTGACTCTCATTCCTCATATGTGTCAGTTCCCCATTGTAAGAACTCCTCTTCCTCCATTACTGTTTGCAGTTGGACTACATAACACCCAGTATAATTCCCCTGTCCCCCGAAACCACGTAGACGCCACAGTTTTACCCTGGCCAGTTTTCAGTCTCAGAATTGCCGCCCATGAAGGCATTCCTTTTCCACAGTCCTTCACTTGCCATGATATTGGTCCTAAAATTACCGTGGTGTCCCACTTCTAATACGGCAGACAGCCTGATTATACCTTTTTTTTTTTTTTTTTTTCAGTCACCATTTGCCTAAGATAATTAGCTGTTATAATTGTCCTTCAGTTCCTCCATTTATTAAATTTGGGTGCTCTTTAAACTTCTTGACCTCTTTTTGTGCTAAAGTACCTACAGATAAATATAGTTTTGTGTTTTTAAAAATTGCAGTAAGAGGTGCTTCATGTTTGTTGACTATTTTCTGGTTTGAAGTATTGTATACATGCATGTATCCCAAGATTACATTTTTTTTTTTTTTACAAGCCTATCTCAAAATTGTTCCAAGGTTTAAAGATTAACTTGGGAAAAACAGAATATATATTTCTTGGTAGAATGCAATCTTATGAATATTGGAGATTTTACTCAGTTCTTTGCTTCATTCTGTAGTTGTTGTTAGGTGCCATCAAGTCGATTTTGACTTGTGGTGACCTCATGTGACAGAGTAGAACTGCTCTTTAGGGTTTTCCAGGCCCTAATCTTTATGGTAACAGATCACTGGGTGGGTTTGAACTCACAACGTTTTGGTTAGCAGCCAAGTGCTTAACCATTACACCACTAGAGCTCCTTCATTCTGTAGTACAAGTAGTAAAGAAATAAAAGACATGGACTCTGTCCTCCAGGAGTTCATTTCCCTAAAAATAATGTATGCTGACTTCTGGGCAACATGGTGCTATAGTCATAAGCACCACGCCGTCCCTCCGCAGGAAAGATCAGAAAAACTAAGTCAAACAGAGTCACATGTCAATCCTGAAACCCTGCACATCAAATGAAGAGATAAAGAACTCAGCCAAGCACCAAATGGAATAAGAAACTGACTGAGAACAGCAAACGAGGAGAGATACATGCAGAGGTCCCCTATCAGCTACTGCAGCACGAATCCGCCATCTTGGACTCCTATCGGAGATCAGCGAATGGGGATATGAGAAAGCAGCTTCACAGAGCTTCCAGCAGGAGACAGAATAACCAGTAACCAGCGATATAGGCTTTCCCACCCCCCACCCTTCTTCACCGTGACTTGGCCTCCTCTGCTTCCTGCAGCCACAGTCTCTTGGCCAGGAGGCACCCCGGTCTCGCTAGGATTCCACCTGCCCGCACTCGCCGGCTCCCTGAGTGCCTGTTGTTGGTGGCTGGTGTTGCTTTTTTCCGCTTCTTTGGATTCCTCCCTTACCTCTCACCACTTCCCCCTCCTTTCTCTCAAGTGCTTGGCTCTGTGCACCATCTATGCTTCTTCCTGAAAGGCTGCAAAACACTGCTTGACTGTGAAACTGCTTCCCGGCCCGTGCCACCATGCTGGTAGGACCCCCGAGGCTTTTTTGTTTGTTTGTTTGCTCCAATTGGTTCTGTTTTGATTTGTTTATTTTCTTTATCTTTTCTCGGCTTGGGAGCCCCTTCTGGTCAGGCAGTACCATGCGGCTTGGAAGCTACTCCCT